GGGCTGCGATGGAACTCACAGGATCTCTCTCTACCGCTTGCTTTCGTTTTCCAGAAAGAACATTGGAATGCAATGAGTAACATCAGTGGTGATGTTATGTGGGGAAATCTTCTAATCTTTTCCAATTACACTAATTTATGAAAATAACCAATCATTCACAGACTTCTGTACTTTATAATTAGTAACAAATTTCTTACAGCGCACCCCCTAACTCATCAGACCCACCAGTGTGCACAGGGACTTGTGGTTGAAAAGTGCTGCCTTGACCTCATTTCTTTTGAAGAAGCATTTAAACAGAAGTACTTTGCCTTTTCTGAGCCTCATTTTTCTGTATCTTCATCAGTAAAATGAAGAATTTGGACTAAATAGGTACCAGAATGCTGAAATTGTCTGGAAGAAAAGAACCTTCCTAATTGTCACATCAAACAACCATGATCTGGGAGCATTTCTGCATATTTAGAATCTTTGATTTGTGTTCACTTGTATCTGCCCATCCACCCATTCATCTACCCAATCATCCATCCACCAACCATTCATCCATTCATCCATCCATCCATCCATCCAACCATCCACCAATCACCCATCCACCCAACCATCCATCCACTCAGCCATCCATCCACCAACCATTCATCCATCCATCCATCCAACCATACACCCACCAACCATCCATTTGTCCATTCATCCAACCATCCATCACCCAATCCCTCTAACCAGCCATCCATCCCCCAACCATTCATCCATCTATCCAGCCATTCAGCCATCCAATCACCCATCCACCAATCACCCATCCACCCATCCATCCATCCATCCATCCATCCACCCATCCATCTACTCATACATTCATGTATTCAATATTTACTATATGCTAGACACTGGGGAAACAATATTGAAAAGAAACAAGACTCAGTCTTCATTATACTCCAATGGAGGGAATGATCATCAATCCATGTTGATGGCAACTGTGACTACAGCCATCACCAGGGGTCCTGTGAAAGGAGATCTGATCCCAGAGGCCAGGCCAGGAAGGCTTTGTTGACAAGTGATGAGTAGGGCTGAGACCTGCTGGGGAAGAGTAGGAGGGCTCCGGGCTCCAGGCAGATGCACTGATGGAGAGGTCCAAGTGGGATGAGACAGGAAAGGTAGGCCGGGGCCACAGCTGATGGCAAAGTGAAGCCACCGAAGAGTCTTCTCACTAGGGTGACGGGATTAGGCTTTTATTTCTAAGCCATGTTGCTCAGGCTGCAGACTGGAAAATGGAATGATGCAACCAGAGTGAGTGGGAGAAGAGCCTGTAGCGCCCATCCAGAAGGGGTGGGGCCAGCAAGTAGAGGGAAGCGGGAGGTGGCAGGGCCCGGAGCCAGGCAGTGCGGGGCTTGAGCTTGCTTTGCCTCGGGAGCTCTGAGACCTTGGGTCCAGTCTTAAACCTCTCTGGGGATATTTCTATGTGTGTGCAATAAGGGCCATCTACTCTGCCGAGCTACTGAGTGGATTAGATACAATCATAACTGGAAAGTGCTTAGCATGGGCCTGGTCTTAATAAATGCTCAATATGTGGCAACTCTCCATCCGACGATTCTGCTTTATGGTTTTGTTGGTTCCCTTGAAGCCTGGTAGTTCAGGGGCCATGCTTGTTTTTTCTCAACCAGGCTCCTTCCCCAAACATTCCTGGTTGGCTCAAGTGTACGTCTTCAGAACTGTGCACTTAGGAGCCCATCTGGATGTGATTGTCTCCAGCTAGGGTAGTGGGGAGGGCATCTCTGTTGTCTGCTCAGAACTTTGCTGCAGCAAATCACCTCTCTTCCAGGTTGCTTTACCCTATGCTTCACCCTTTCTTGTGCTGGGGGTGTGTGGTCTGCACCAAGGAGACCGTATCCAGACTCATCCTACAACCTCAACTCAAAGGCAGTGCCCCCTACAGGCTGAAAACCTTCCATTGAGAGTTCTGCGCAGCCAAGCGCACAAGGGCTGGCCTTTGGATTCTGAGCAGCATCTCCATCCCACACATTTTGATACAATCTTGAAGCACAAAAGGACATTATGTAAGCTTCAATTAATGCAGAGCCCTCACGGATCAGTTCTTAGGATTTTTCCTGCCCTTAGGCAAATTTGCTTCTGACAAGTGGCTTTAATCTGGTTTTAAAAATTGCTTTGGATGGGCAATCAAAGAAATTGCTGGTGTTCAGCTTATGCTAAATAAACCAAGCAGGGTTTTTATGTGGGGGGAGAGTCGTGTGCCTCAGACTCGGTGGGAATTTGCTCCTGGTTGTTTTCTGATAAGACCCACAGGTTTTCAAGCTGCCCGAGTTGAGTGAATGTGTCCCCAAATGATAAAGACTTCATTCCGCCTGAAGGGAAGCCCCACAGTCCCCCTAAGCTGGCAGCTCCAGTCTGAGGCAGGGACAAGGAAGTGGTTTTATTTGTCTTCTTACCCGCGTGGAGGGGGCTGTGTTCTGCGCCTCTGGAGCAAGCAGACGTATGTGGGAAGCACTTCATTTCTGAATTATACACCATTAATCTCACTAACTGCTAAGTGCTGTGACCCCGAGTTAATGGGTGGGACGCAAAATGTAAAGTGCTTGTAAAAAGGAAACTGGCCAGCTGCAGAATGCAGAGCGGTTGGTTCCAGAACAATCCAACAGTGCTGTGGCTTGGGAGCCCTCCCGAGCCTGGTGCCACGGCTTTCTGGGTGCAGCCGTCCTTGTGGCCAGCTGAGGATTAAAGGGATTTGTATAACTTCCCCTCTGAGTTTTCTCTTCTTTGCCCTTGTCAGCTCTGCTTGTGGGTCTGAAAATACAAATCTGGTTGAGACAGTAGCCAACTCTTTCTTGGGTCCCTCTTGAATATCTTCTGTGCCTCAGGCACATCATTCGTGTGTCAAATGTGCGGGAACAGGCATTACATGAGGATGTTTGGTGTAGTGATGATGCGCACACACCCCCTCAAAGATGTCCAGTACATTTCATAGGTGAGGGGCTTGGAGAGAGGCTGGAATGGAGGCAGGGTAAGAGACTCCGGGCATAAACCACTGGTTTGTCACAGTTCTGGAGGCTGAGCTCCAACATCGAGGTGCCAGCACATTCCATCTGGTGTGAGCCTGCTTCCTGGTTCATAGACGGATGGTTTTTCGCTGTGTCCTTGCAAGGCAGAAGGGACAGGGGAGCTCTCTGGGGACTCGTTTGTAAGGCCACGAATCCCATGCTTGGGGACTCCATCTTCAAGACCAAGTCACCTCCCCAAAGCCCCACCTCCTAATACCATCCCCTTGGGGATTAGGTTTCAACACATGAATATGAACTGGGGGGACACAAGCGTCCAGTTTCCCTCCTTGGAAGTGTGTATTCTTGGAGGCAGTACGGATTATTTTCCCAAGCTTTCATTTTGGAAAATTTGAAACCTCAAAATGTTGCGAGAAAGTACAATAAGTACCCATATACCCTATTGTGCTGGCACAGTCAGTTTCTGATGAGACCTTTCTTCTTGGCTCGCAGATGTTGGCTTCTTGCTGTGTCCCTCATGGCTTGTTCTCTGTGTGGCACTCCTGGTGTCTCTTCCTCTTCCTATTAGGACACCACTTAGATCGCATTAGGACTCAACTCCTATGACTTTATTTAACCTATTTACCTCCTGAAAGGCCCTATCTCCAAATACAGTCACATTGGGGGTTTGGACTGCAACATACGGATTTTAGGGGGACACAATTCAGTTTCTAAATTTTAACAGGAATGTATTTCACCTTGCCACTGTATGCATCCCTGATAAAGAATGTATATGCATTGCCTTGCATTCAAAAGCTAGAATTTTGGTAGTGAACGTGTAGAGTAGAATCTTTTCTCTGGTCACATTCAGAACACTGTGGGTCTGTGAATAGGTCAATGTATATATATGTAACAGTTGCAAGAAAATCCACAGATTTTCCTTCCTATAATAATTTTATTATTTTTTCCCTAAAATAATGTCAAAGAACATGGTAGAAGCCCTAGAAAAACCATACTTCTGTTAACTTTGTCTTGTGCAATTTCTCTTGGTGCTAAAAGATATATGATCATAACAAGGACATAGAATCACATCTATGTAAAAATAATAAAATTGCATCCTTTAACAAAACGTGCAGAAAAAAAAAGGAAATTCACCAGAACACTTCAAATGGCAAGCATGTGGGAGATGTTTTTTTCTACATTTTCAAAATGTTGTATTGGCCATATATTATTTTAAAATTTAAAAAATGCATTTAATGAAAACTATGCAGAATTGAAAACCCCAGTCCAAATATGGCAGGTGATAAACTATTTTACAGTACCTGGATAGCTGGTTATCTACAGCAAATCCATAATTCTGAGCCACGTTCCCCTAAATTCCCATAGTTTTGCTTTACATGCTGCCCAGCTAGGTAAGTTCAAGTTAAGACAAATACAGGTATGAAGGTAATTCAGCTCCCAAGAATTTTATATATAGGTCCCATGCAGGAATTCCATAGCTAAACAGAATTGATTTTTGGATGACATCCCTCACAGTACCACATGTTGAATTAAAGAATCAAGGGAACTATTCTCAACAATAGCTCTTTATTTCAAAGCATGGCTTTGCCCACTTGTGCCTTTTCCCCAAACATCTAAAGATCCTCATTAAGTACTTAGGACCTCCTTGTAAGTTACACAGAACTGGTTCAAACCCTCTATTATGATTTATACCTATTGAAAACTTTCTGATTTCCCTGCATCTTGGACTACTGTGACTATGTTTTCATATTTCCCTGTTCACAACCGACCATCATGGAAAACTCCAAGCTGAATGTTTGAGATTCCCTGCATTGATTTTGGGAGAAAGTAAGGGCACATGAAGGGTTATGGGAGGGGGAGGATGGGGGGGGCTTGGTCTCTTCATGGAGAGGAATGAGCTGCATGGGGATGCTGTGTTTTGTGGTCTTTGCTGGGGAAAGGGTGGGGGTGATTCTGCCTGTGATGTGGTTCTGGACACACATCCACGAGAATGAATGAAACATCAAATGTTTTCATTGTTGGCAGTGCTGGGCACCGAGGCTCCTGCTCTGCGTCTGAGGGTGCTGCCAGCCTGGATCCGTGCATTGTGTCCCCGGAGGTGACTGAGCCAAGCAAATGCCCACAGGAAGCCAGGGGCCCAGAAGGTTCTCCACTGCCCCGCCCACCAGTGCCCTGGGAGCAGGCGTGCCCCTCCGCCTCCATGCCCTTTGCCCAGGGCCCCCTGGAAGCTTGCCTGGCAAGCCCAGTAGCAACACCTGAAGATTGGCCCCTCATTCAACACCCCAGGAGGGAACCTTCCCCAGATGCCCGTGGGGAGGCCCCCAAAGCGTCTGTCCCTGAAGGGGGCAGTTCTACTCAGTGCAGCGTGGACGCTGTCGTCCCCAGTGCCGGGCACACATTGTCTGCCTCCAGCCGCACTGACCAGTCGCCGGGGGTTTCACCAGCACCTCCCCAAGAGCTGAGGAAAGGACAGCTGTGTGAAAAAGATGGCCAGCCTGGTGATTTCGAGTCCCAAGGGAATGAGGCTGCAGGTGGCCTTCCCCTGGCAGAGTCCAGGCAGGGGGCGGCTCCTGTGCCAGAGGCCCCGCAGGCCCCTGCTGCCGCTCAGCCAGGCAGGGCGAGCTCACCTGCCCTGGAGGAGTGCCCCGCAAAACCTGAGACCCCGACTCCACCAGAGCCAGCCCCCGGAGCCTCAGGCAGAGACGGATGCCAAGTGGAGGTGCCGCCTCAGGCTTTCGCCGCCAGCTCGGGATTCCTCGGGGCCTGCCATGCCACCAGGGGCCCTGCAGGGGCTGCCCAGGAAGCCGACACAAATTCCCAGGAAAGCAGCCAGCAGCAAATGGGAGCCCATCTGACGCACGTCGAGCTGCCCTGGGATTCACAGAGTCCTGGCCCGGCACCCAGGGCCGGGGGCTCTGGGAAGGAGACCGTGGGGGCCGGCGGTGCTCAGGGTCGCTGGCAGGCAGGGGACCCGGGAAGCGAGCCCAGCACAGCTGTCCCTTCCGTAGCAGGCAACCAGCCCGGAGGGGCTTCGCTTGAGAGCACAGAGCCCTCCCCACGAGCCCTGATGGAGGACACACGTCCAGCTTCAGGCTCCACCTTATCACCAGCTGCTCAGGCCTCTGCTGCTGCAGAAGGATCCAGCTGGTTGACCCAGGAGGTGGTTTCCGGGGCTGAGATGCCAGTTCTTACGGATCTGGCCAAAGAGTTAGCAGATGCAGGGTTGGCAGGACGGGAGAAGCTCGCATCTGATCTCAGAAGGGAGGGAGAGGGTCTAGGAGAGAACTGTGCAGAGGGTCCTGCCCCTTTGCCCCAGGACGACAGGGGAGAGGTCTCAATGAGGGACCAGAAAATCCAACAAGGAGTACTGTCCCCTGCCCCAACCAGTGTATCAGACGAAAGGGCCAGAAGCTCACTAGGGTCGAAGGATGAAGCCATGATCCCCGAAAGCCCAGCTGTGGCTGAGGAGAAGAGCAGACTATCGGAGGCAAACTCTAGGGGACAGGAAGAAGTCCCAGAGGCACTTGACAGTAGAGATCCTGAGAAGCCCTGGGGAGAGCAACCTGGGGCCTTAGGCTGCAAGCCCAGCCTGGAGGTGGAAAAAGAGGAGGTTTCAGAGCTAAGCCATGATGTGGACAGCAAAGTGCATTCCGGCACTGACTCAGCACAGCCACCCAGAAAGGAGGGTCCCGGGCACACCGATTGGCCTGGCTCTCCATCAGAAGACACAGTGTGGAGCTCAGTGACCTGTGGGATGATGGGAGAAGCCCATGGGGTCCATGCCTCTGGCTCACTGCACAAGCTCCCCGAGAAGGATCTCGCCCTGCCCCCTGGGCCAGATGGAACTGGTGAACACATTCTTCCCAGAGAAGCTGCCTGGGAGGGGCCAGGATTGCAGACCCAGTGTCCCGACACCCTTCGGGACGCGGGGGGATTAGAAAGAATAGACTATCTTCCTGCTTTAGAAACTGAGAAATCAGGTTTCCTGTCAACTTCCGCGGCAGAGGTCATCCCCAAAGCCCAGGAGGCGGAGAGCCCATCTGACACAAAGATGAGGAGCCGCCCATCTGCGCAGAGGCCCAGCAGCTGTGCCAGGGAGGGCTTGCTGACATCCCCGGGCCAACCTTGTGGGCTGGGGCGTGAGGCAGCTGGTCAGGAAATCCATGCTGATGGGCCATATTCCCCCGAGGGGGAGAATTTGGCAGTGGACTGTGGGCTTACGATGCTCAGCCTGGAGCAAGATCAGCAGGGAAACCCGTCCTGCCTAAGGGAAAACTGGACACAAGTAGCTGCTTCTGAGGGGCCCCCGGTATCTTCTGAGAACCGTCTCCAGCCATTGCAATCAGAACCAGAAGCATCCATGTCTGACATGCTCGGGGAGAAGCCCCAGCAGTGTGAAAATGAGAAAGAGACTTATGCAGGTGGTTTAGGCTTTAAGAACCTAGACACAGATGCTTCTCCAACCCACCTACCTGTGGAACCTCTGGCAGATGTGTGCTTGCCCACTCACGGGAGAGAGGAACAAGCTTCCAGATCAGAACGTCACGGGGAGCTCCCCAAAGGCAGCCTGTCTGATGCGCCCGGTTCGGCTCCCAGGGACGTGGTTCCAGAGAGTCCTGCGACAGAGCAGCCAAAACTGTCAGCAGCAATAGGACCTGAGTTGTCTGCGCAAGGGCAGAATGAGCAAGAGGGAGAATGCAGTGACAGCCTGCCTTCCAGAGTCTTGCCGCCTGCAGCAGAGGCCTCAAAAGACTCTCCTCTTGCAGGTCACTTGGGCAGAGAGGAGAGTTGCTGTGCACAGCAGGGGCCCAACAAGTCCCAGCAGGAACTGGCAGATGGGTCGCGAGCCAGCAGCCAGCATGAAGAAGCATGTCTCAGGGATGCAGAACTTTCTGAAGCAGCTGACGCTCAGCCCCCGCTCCAGGGGTTGGGTAAGACAGAGAAGGCAAGTGGGAACACAGTGGGGACCCCACCTTGTCGGCCTGACTCAGTCGCTCTCCTGGATGCGGCTCACGGCCCGCCAGGCCCGGCGCCTGCCAGCCTTAGAGGCACACCCAGCCAGGATGCCCCAGACAGAGAGGCGTATGGGGAGACGCAGGGAGGCAGGCAGCAACCTGTGCCGGCCCCACAGAAGGACATGGAGCACCCCACCGCCTCGGATGCGGAGGCCCCAAGGCTCCTTGGAAGTTTCGCAGCGGCAGAGGATCGAGGTGCAGATGGTGGGGCTGCCGAGACTGCTGGGAATGCTGAGGAAGGGGACCTGGGGGTGCAGCGGGCTCTGGAGGGGCCTGCAGAAGCTTCTCTGAGTGGTGGCTCCCTTCAGACTGAGCAGCACGCCTCCCCTGAGAAGGAAGCTTCTACCTTTGCCCGGGGTGAGCCAAGCCAAGCAGAGCAGCTTTCGGCCGGCGGCCAGGGGGCCTTGTTACCAGCCGGAGAGCTGGGGGGGATTCCCAGGAGCAAGGTGGATATTCCTGCAGCCCAGGCTGTCCCCAACCCAAAGAAACCCCTGCCACCTGGGCCACCAGAAGAGGCTACTCCAGACACTCCTTACCTGCATATAGATGGTGCTGCCGGGAAGGGGGCAGGCCCTTGTCCCATAGAAGAGCCCCTGCCGGCCTTGGAAAATACCACCTCCATGAAGCTTTCCGCTGGCCTGCTTGCCCCTCTCTCACAACCAGGGGCGGCCAGCGGGGAGGTCTCTGTGGTGCAAGCAAGCAGTGGAAGCCCCAGAGCTGGAAACGCTGAGGGACCCGCGGACTCCATCCCCTACCTGGACAGGGCGCTGCTTCTGACCAAGAGTAAGCAGATGACAGGGGAGGAGGAGGAGGAGGAGGCCAGAGCTCCTGGTGCAGACCCGGAGCCCGGTGGGCCACCAGCGCGCCCCGCCAGCGAGGAAAGCATGGCAGGTGAAGCAGCAAAGGAGCCAGAGGGCTTCAGGGAGAGGATGATAGAGCCTTCCAAGGATCCGAGGAGGGGCGCCTCGGGTGGTGTGGACGCAAGCTCCAAGCAGATGGGCATGATCACTGGGTTCCCTGACTTCAGGGAGCACATCACCAAGATCTTTGAGAAGTCTGTGTTCAGAGCCCTGACCGCTGATCGGCCCCAGAGTGCGGCGGGAGCCGAGGGGAGTGTGAGGGGCAAGGACCTCGTGGGGCCACACCCAGAGAAGCCTCCAGATGGGGCTCAAGGAGTGGCCATCGCCCCTCTCCCCGACCTTCCTGCTGGACTCGGGGTGGATGCAAAGGAGAAGAAGCAAGAGTTGCCTACAGAGGCTGAGCTCCCCTGTCTGGTTCCCCAGGATCCCGCTCCAGGAAGGCCGCCGGGTCTGGCGGCACCAGCCGCAGAGCCAAACCTGCCAGGTGCTGGCGTGGGGAAGGAGATGACCGGTGTCCCACAGACTGCGCAGGAGAGTGAGAAGCCAGAGGGGGCTGGGGAGGCCGGGCTGGGGCTTGGAGGCCAGGCCCCCTCACATCAGGGCGGGGGCCAGCAGGAACTAGCCTTGGGTCCTTCCCTGCCCGCAGCTGTTCTGGAGACTCCCGTGGAAAAAGCTGCGGGCTTCCAGGTGGATCCCCAGAGCCACCGAGAAGGGGCCTCGGTTCCAGAAGACAGAATTGCTCCTGGGATATACCCCCAGGAGACATCCACTGGCGACAGTCAACCCAGAGAGGATGGTGCCTGGGGCTTTGCTCACACAGGGGGTCCGAGTGACATGCCAGTGTCCACCTCTGCCCTGACAGCATCTTCTCCCCATGGGGGTGTTGCGACTGTGGCCGAGGCCATCCGTGAGCCCTGGACCCCCGACACCGTCGGGGGGGAGCAGAGGTGTGGAGGTGGAGCTCCTGAGCTACAGGCTGAGCCAGCAGGAGCCACTCCCATAGAGCCCGGCTCGGTGGCAGGAGCTGCTGGGGAAGCGGAGGGTGACGTCACCTCGAGCACAGCTGAGACCGGGGCGCGTGTGGCTGGTGACCCGCCCGAGACAGGTACTACGAGGATGTTCTCTGGTGCTGCTCATGGGGACGCAGGCTGCTCTGCTGGGGCCCCAGGCACGGAGGATGCAGCCACTCTGCGAGGGGCCAGCCCGGCCATGCACCTGCTGGCTGAGGAGCAGCCCAGGCCTGAGCCCCCCACTCCTGCTGGGGGCGGGAAGCTGCGAGTCTCTTCACCTCCGGAACCTGACGAGCTTCGGGACCCGAAGCCCCAAACCCTGGCTCTGGGAGTGCTCCACCCTGAAAGGTACAGAAAAGAACAAACTCCCAGGGGGACGTGGGGCCAATGTCAAAAGGGAATCCCACCCCGGTTTTTAAGAGTCAAATAGACGGGTGGTTTTTAAAAAAGCTAGGTTTTCTATGCCTAAATGTTTAAATTTACCTGCTTGCAACCTCTGGATGTGCTAAGATTCTGAAAAAGGTGAGAGGAATGGGTGGAAGTTGGGAGCTGTTTGTTGGACACTAACAGAGTCCTGTTCGCTCTCTGTGTTCTTCAATTCATTTCACTCAAAGTGTCTGAAAAGCGTGAAATGTCTACTGGCTGGCCACGCTCTTGGGTCATAGGTTAGAGTCAATCATATGTTTTTTCCGGAGCCTAAATACCTTTGCTTTTGAATCTGGATTTATTTATACAGAGAGGCCTAAACGATCCAAAAGCATCTCAAAACCATTGACTGCTGGAAGCTGATTTTTTTTTTTCCCTAGGGATTTTGGGGTAGTACCCGCTTAAAGCTTGAATTGGGAAATGGACTTTTTCAGTCACATGTGGAGAGAAATACCCTTCTTACCATCTATTGCTTTCTTTATATTGTCCCAGAAGAAGCTCTGGGCCTGGCCCATCCACCTTACCTTCAGTTCCTGAGAAGGATGCTCCAGATGCCCCAGGCGAGGTCACCTCAGATGAGGCCAGAAGTGCGGGAGGAGCAGAAAGGTCAGTGAAAAGGTGTCAGCCTTTGGAGAACCATGAGGACTTCTTCGGCAGAGACACACTGGATGTTTTGCAGAGGAGAGTTCTGTTCACACACGAGTCCTTATATAAGCAAGAAGCAAACAGCCTTTCCCATTCTTTATACAGGTAAAGCAGTGCCCGAGATGACGGAGAGCTCCACTTGTATACACGGGATGGAGTGAATTTCACATGGGAGCTTACTACCTTAAAAAAAACCAAAGAGCTTTATTGAGATGTAATTCACATGCCATACAGTTTGTTCATTTAAACTGTACAATTTGGTGGCTTCACAGAGTTGTGCAAGCATCACTACAATCAACTTTAGAACATTGTCATCCCCCCCAAAGAAACCCTGCACCCCTTGGATATCACATCCCAACCCCCAGCCCTAGACAAGCACTAATTTGAGGCAAATGGGTTCAACACTGATTTAATCTCTGAAGCAGGAGTGTCTACTCACCAACCCCCGTCATACTCCATAGAGATCTCAAGATTAGGGGACAAATGACAGATGTAACTGTGAATCCTGGACGCTCACACTTGTATGAAGTGTGCCTGCTGGTTCTTTCCTGAGTGAAATGCCACCTAGGATTGTAGAAAAGCAGCTGCTCAGAAGGTTCATCCTTCTGGGGAAATGGAGGTATTGTGAACATCCTTAGACCTCTGGCTGTTCCAGGGCTGTGTGTGTGTATGTGTGTGTGTGTGTGTGTGTGTGTGTGTGTGTAGCAGGGTTGGACTTTAAATCAGTACCTGTGACAGCCCAGTGTATCCTCCCAAACAGCTGCAGGCATTTTAGGAAGGATTTGATTAATATTTTGCACACGCGGAAAGAATGTACGATCACCTGTTTTTCGAGTCTGAGCACTCCCCCCGACACCCAGCTGCCTTCCTGCCCTTACAAGGGCGCCTCTTGTAACTCTGGCCGGCGAGATTCAGGCGCGTGCTGCCCAGGCAGATGCAGGTGTACGCGGCAGGGGGCACTTGTCTCTGCGGCTGATGTAGCACTTAAGTCCTCCCGTGGCCCTTGCTGGTATGTCTGTTTGACAGTCCCAGTTCAAGCAGGAAAAATATCTAACCAGGAAAATCCTCTCCCTCCCCACCGATGAGATATTAGCACCTTTTGCAAAGTCCCTGGAGGTTTTACCCCCTTCTTGGAGAAGTTGGGGCCAGACGAATAGTAAGTAGTTCAATAAATAGTTCATGGCTTATCGTTCTAAGCACTTAAACATTTTAAATCATAATTTCTAAATTAATATTAGAACATCTGTAAGGAATAGAAAAGTAGAAGGAATAAGAGAAAAGGCCACAACCTCACCACCTAATGATTGCTGGTATTTATTATGTTATGTATTTTCACCCACCGTTTTCTCTCTTTAAATACCTGTAGAGTGCTTTTCCCCTCTGCCATCAAAACTCTGCAAGCGTGTCTTAGTGGCTGAAGGTGTGTGACTTAGCACAGTTGACTGAGCCGCAGACATTTCAGTGATGAGCAGTGTTTCTGTTCCCTTTGCCCTGATGGAGGGTCCGCCGGGGGGTACACTCTTAGACTCTCTGAGATGTACCATCTGATTTGGCAGCCGCTCGTCACCTGTGAGTGGAGGTGGGCTGTGAGTATAAAATACATACCAGGTGGTGAAGATTTAGTATAAAAAAAAGAATATAAAACACATGATTCATAATTTTTAGGTTGGTATATGTTAACATAATATTTCGGATGTATTGGGTGAGAATATATTATTAAATTTCATTTCATGTATTTTTTTTAAAGATTTTATTTATTTATTTATTTGAGAGAGAGAGCAGCGAGAGAGGGAACACAAGCAGGGGGAGTGGGAGAGGCAGAAGCAGGCTCCCCGCTGAGCAGAAAGCCCAGTGCAGGGCTCGATCCCAGGACCCTGGGATCATGACCTGAGCCGAAGGCAGACGCTTAATGACTGGGCCACCCAGGCGCCCCTCATTTTTCATGTGTTTCTTTTCCCTATTTCTTTTTTTTTTTTTTAAAGATTTTATTTATTTATTTGACAGAGAGAGACCAGCGAGAGAGGGAACACAGGGGGAGAGTGGGGGAGAGGGAGAGGCAGGCTCCCCGCAGAGCAGGGAGCCCAATGTGGGGCTAGATCCCAGGACCCTGGGATCATGACCTGAGCCGAAGGCAGACGCTTAACGACTGAGCCACCCAGGCGCCCCTCTTTTCCCTATTTCTAATGTGGCTACGAAAACTTATAAAATTACATATGTGACTTTTGCATTCTTGGCTTCCATGTGTGACTCAGAGTCTACTTCTGGTTAGATCATTTGGCTCTAGAACGTGCACTGCCCTGGTCCTTGATGGAGGACAGCTGGCTTTTCCTGTCCTTTGGGTTCTTGGGGAAAACACCTGCCTCCGTCTCATTGGCTGAGGATTTTCAGAAAGAATTCTGAATGGACCCTCCGCTCCAGCCTGCCAAGTGGGGTGACCTCTGGCTCCCCTCCCTCGAGGGGAATTACGGGGGCAGCAACATCCGGGCAAAGAGGCGGCCACAGATTCCAACTTAGGCTCAGTAGACCATCGGAGGTCTCCCGGAAGATAGAGACCAGCTCTTTTCAACAGAAATAGGACACGAGGGGCGCCTGGGTGGCTCA